CTGCTTCTTGTCCTCGGCCTGGCTCAGGAGGAAGCCTTCCACCAGGGCCACCGCTTGGGAACTGGTTTCTGCTCCACACTCCCTCACCCAGCTTCCCAGCTCCGGGGTCAGGATGGCCAGGAACTGCTCCAGGATCACCAGGTCCAGGATCTCAGCCTTGCTGTGCTTCTCTGGCTTCAACCACTGACAACAAAGGTGGTAGAGTTGGCTGCAAACCTTGCGGGGCCCCACAGTCTCCTGGTAGCGGACGTTCCTGAAGCATTGGCGTGAGGTATCCAAAGTGATGTTTTCTTCCTTTTGCATCTTCTGCCCCATTCTTCTCCAAAGCTCCTCACAGCTTTTACCCTGAGCAGCGTGAGAGCCTTTTCCTTCTAGGTGCTGCAAGTCCATTTTCTCTCTAGTCTCAAATAGACCTCCAAACAGCTGCCAAGGACCTTCTATAACCACCTTAATTCAAAGCCCCGTAACTGGATGAATTGGGTATGAATAAACCTCAACAGACCATCTTTGATTTTGAGGCATTTTTGCTTCCACAGACACTTTCTGCACCAAACAACATATTGTGAGGTAGAAAAAAGAAAGCCGTAACAGCAAAATTTCACTGGAGAGCACTTCAAAAATTCTCACAACAACTAGGTCTGCACAACATGCAGAATAGGCTACAGTGGGGTTTCTGGTTGTCTGGCCACCACAGTAACTCATTTGATGGCTTATTTAGCAGGCATAGTTTTATCAGTGATGTTGTTAGAAGCAATTCTAACTTCAGGTTTACTAAGGTCTTAGAACCAGTGATGGTTATTTAAGAGACGTCTTTTAATCAAAGCCCATGCAATCCAAAGATCCAAGGGTTGCAATCCACCTTTTCAGCTGGAACTATATTTTCCAAGGTTCACTGAGATTCTGAGGGAGGAGGATCCCCCACCCCCACCCCCGCCGTGCTCTGGACCTGCTTTGCTGCTGCTGCTCGGAAGCCTGCATGCACAGCAGAGCCAAACGCAGCTAGACCAAGGCGGGCTTCCATGCACTCTTCCTGATTTGCTTGCTGGGGCTTTCCAGGGCAAAACCCTGCCTTTCCCCCCACCCCAAACCAGACCCTGCAGAGTCCTTCTAAGACACGGAGGGAGTGCCTCTCCAGCGCTGCAGTCGGTGGTCTTAGCTCTTGAACCGCCCTCTCCGTCCGCAAATAGATAGAGAAAACGTGTTTTTCTTGCACGGGGACTGGCACCGCACCTGGTGGTAAATAAAGGATGCCCCCTCCCAGTTGCATTCACTGCCTAAGGCTCGGATTCTGGAATAATTGCGTTTGGGGGTACTGCTTCCTCGCAGCCAACAAGGCGGCCGCTTTGGCGTCGAGAGGAGAAAATCCACACTCACACCCAGGTCTACTCCTGCGGGAAGTTCCCACGCTTCCATTCCTCTCCAGGGACTGAAACGAGAGGTCTCCTTCCTAGAGCGGAAGCATTCCTCACTTCCTGCCCGTCTTCAAAAAGCCCCTTGCACAATCCTTCCACCTGGCAGGGATGAGGCGCATGCTCAGTTCGACTTCGAAGCTAGGATGCTGCCAGGACTCCAAGGTTCGAAAGAGGGAACCAGCTGGTCAATTCGGCTCGCATACATTAAAAGCGAAGCGGGTCGGCGTTTTCCCGTGGCAGTGGCTGGCATCGTTTGAACTCAAATAGCATTCATTGGGTGCAATAATTAATAGGATATTGCTATGGAGTCTGTTATAGTAATAACATTCTTCCCTGATATTAAAAAAAATCAGCCATCACAGATTGAGATTTAAAACTTAGTTTAAGAGTTTGGAAAATATAGAAATAATTTCTGGCCCGATTGCTTCAACTCTTCTCCCATTCACATTGTCGACACAGAGATAAACCCCCATACAAGAAAAGAGAGGATAAAGGACTTTTTAGATTCAGAGACTTGATAAAAACCTGATCTATACTTTGCTGAAAAAATAGTCCCAAATTCCACCTTGGTTCGTAATGAGACAAGTTCTATAATTCGTTCTTTAGGTTATAAAATCTCACCTATAAAGGACACTTATATTTACCTGGAGAATGGTTTGAATCTGTGTAATTTAACATGAAAATAATTCCTTCAATGTACAAAGCAGGTCAGTAGACTCCCTTGACAATCTTTCAAATATACAAGTAGAGGATTGGGATTTGAATTTGATGAGGTAGCTTGGAAAACCTCATAGCATAACATTCGCTTGAAATCAGCTTGATGAGCCAGCAAGGATCCTCCTCCTCCTCTCCTTTAAAATTACAGTAATTGAAAATTAATCTTGTTTGGATTGCAGGGTTATAATACAATTAGTACCTTATCCTCTCTGATGTCAACATCATACAGTTACTCCTTTTATTACATCATTTTTGAGAAGCAGAAAGAATTACTTTTTTATTTTTTATATTCTTCACCATCTGTCCATATTGAACTCATTTTCCTAGTGGCTGTTTCTGCACAGAATTGTTCTGGTCTCCTTGGTGCTTACTTTAAACCAGTCTCTTGTTAAGTCCCCACCTATCATCCACCATATATTACTCCTGGGGATTTATTTTCTGCTACCTCCATCACCACCACCACACGTGGATCCACAACTGGGAACACCTTATGAATGGCAGAAGGTTTACGTTTAGTTGCCATTCCTACCTCTTCACTTTTTATCTGGAGCACTGGAGGAACAGTTAACCACCATTTAATCCAAGGATAAATTCTGTGATAGCCATAACCTCAGCAAAAGTTTTGGTTTAATGACACACTAAGCCTAATCATACTATGGTTTAAGCATGCCATAAGGATCTGATCAGACAGATTCATTCCACAATGAGATGACCCAGTAAGGTTCCTCTTAGTTATGATCCCCTTTCTCAAACTCCAGCTGTTCCACCACACCGCATCTCAGCTGCACACATCCAGAGGGCTAGGTGGCACCCAGGAGATACAAACTCTTAATTTTTTGCTGCCACCTGGTGGTTGGACAATCAAGGAATCCATCTGTATAATACCTTCATGAATTAAACAAAAGTTTGTGGCAGGAAAGGATAAAGAAACAATGCAGTACACCAGACCATTGTGCCTGGCAACTGGTGAAGGCTTCTTATGGGGGATCACGATGGGTGGGGCTAGAATTTCAGCTGAGTGAAACCACCATCAGAGCCCTTAGAAGGTTGTGTCCTAAAGCTGAATAGGTAACAATCCCAGGTGCGCAGGAAAGCAGGACACCGTGGGGGAAGCATGGCTTTTTGGAAGAGAAGGAGCACAGCAAAGCAGCTATGTGCATCTGTTCCTAACCTTGATGGGAGTTCGAACCCATTCGCAGAAATGAAAATACATCACTAGGTTTTGACATAACGTGGAGAATGCTTACCCGCCTTGACTCCAGGAATGCCCATGGCTGACTTTGCCTTACCTGTTGATTACCATCAACTGAATGAAACTGAAGTTGGCATTTGCAAGCCTTGGTGCACCATTGCTTGAACACATCACTTTTATTCCACAACAACTCCATAATGAGTCGTTCTGAAATTTAAGGTTTCATCAAATTTGTTTGATGAAGAATGAATATGAATAATGGGAGGAGAGGGTGACAAGGTCTGAGACCTTTGTCTTGGATCCCAAAAAGCTTTACTTACCTGAGTGTGTTGTGTAAACAGACCCTACAGATTGTATCTGATGGTGTGGACGTGTTAGCCTGGTCAAAATGACACATCCCATTGTATATTGTACATCTCTGCTATAGAAGTGTGTTTCCAGTTCATTTCATGGATCTTCTTCCAATCCTGCTTTCACACGACTAACCATCCTTCACAACTAGCCATCCTTCTCTGGGCTGAAAGAGAGAAACTTCTCCACCAAAAGCATAATTCAATACTATATTCTACCAACTGCCGGGGTTTCTGAATGTTGTTGAAGTTGGCTACCGGTCCCCAATTTCAATGGATGAAAAAAAGATGGGCCCGTATCAGGTGAGAAATGGGCTATGAGAATACCACTGCTGAGTACAAAGGAACAAGTATATTAAAAGAAAACAAATTATTGAGTGGAAAATCTATTCAAACAATGTATTTCTGGGAAATGATACCTCAGAAAATTCACAGGGAGGAGAAATTAAGGATGGAATAAACTTATCTCAATGAATCTAGAAAAATGGTTATGTTTATGGTTAATGTTTATGAACCTAATTTAGATTCACCTATCATGTTTATGAATGTTTTTGACACTTGAATGAGTGTATTTATGATAAAGTGATAATAGGAGATTTTAATGAAATACTGGATCCTGAGCTTGATAGAAATACACTGGCACAATAAATAAATAAATAAAAAAATAAAAAAATAAATCATTAGCGAGGGGAACAATTAAGACTTATATGGAAGAACTGAATTTAATAGACCCCTGGTGCTTGATGTATACAACTAAAAGAGAACATACATACAATATACATGTACCAGAATTTTTTTAGGCTTGATTATTTTTTAATATCATTGACTTTATATCACCAAATTCAAGAATGTAATATTGATGTTTGTTATGTATCAGACCACAGTGCAATTACTTTGAAATGTGTGTTTCAGAAACTGGTCAAGATAATCGAGAAATTGGTATTTCAATGTCTCCTTGTTGAATGATAAAGAATTTGTAAACCAATGTGGGTAGAGACCTTACAATACTTTGATTTGAACTCAGGAACATCAGAAACATCTAATTTTTGAATGGGAAGCATATAAAACATATATCCAAGGTCGAATGATTGCTTGTGTCATACAAAAACAAGATTAAAAATAAAAGGGAAAGTAATTTGAAAGACGAATTGAAACATTTATGAGCACAGGTAGTTAAGATGCCCATCTACTACTTTGTACAGAAAAATACAGAAAAAGAAATATGAACTAAATACTGTAACATCACAGCAGACAGAATTCATGCTAACATGCCTATGAACAGACATACTGGGAGAATGGTGAAACCTGGCAAGATTTTGGCTAATCGCTTAAAACAAAAGAAAGATAGGGCAATGATTCCAACTATTAGAGGTGAAAGTGATGAAATATATAAAACATTAACAAATTGTCAATTTTTGAAGTACACCTCTGATTTGCATGATTTGTCACATTATGGGTGAATTCCATAATGTCAAGTATCTGCTCGCACCAAGGATCTTCTCTTGCTCCACAGCATCTCCCGTCTTGCTTTCTCTTTGAGAAACCAGGTCATCACAATGACTGATGCTCTTTCCATTTTCCATAAACGTATATGATTTCTCCCCTGCATGGATTCTTTTATGGGAAGTAAGGGATCTGCTCTGTTTGAAGCTCTTTCCACACTCTGTGCATTTATATGGTTTTTCCCCTGTGTGGGTCCTTTTATGGGAAGTGAGGAATCTACTCTGTTTGAAGCTCTTTCCGCATTCCATGCATTTATATGGCTTTTCCCCCGTGTGGGTCCTTTTATGGGAAGTGAGGCTACTACTGTCATAGAAGCTTTTCCCACATTTGTTACATGTATATGGTTTCTCTCCTGTGTGGATCCTCTTATGAGAAGTAAGGCCACTGCATCTCCTGAAGCTTTTTCCACACTCCATGCATTTATATGGCTTTTCCCCTGTGTGGATCCTTTTATGGGAAGTAAGATGGTTGCTCTCTCTGAAGTTTTTTCCACACTCCATGCATTTATAAGCTTTCTCTCCTGTGTGGATCCTTTTATGGGAAGTAAGGCCACTACTGTAGTAGAAGCTTTTCCCACAGTTGTCACATTTATATGGTTTCTCTCCTGTGTGGATCCTCTTATGGCAAGTAAGGGAACTACTGTGCCTGAAGCTCTTTCCACACTCCATGCATTTATATGGTTTTTCCCCTGTGTGGGTCCTTTTATGGGAAGTGAGGCTACTACTGTCATAGAAATTTTTCCCACATTTGCTACATTGATATGGTTTCTCTCCTGTGTGGATCCTCTTATGGGAAGTAAGGTCACTGCATCTCCTGAACCTTTTTCCACATTCCATGCATGTATGTGGTTTTTCCCCGGTGTGGATCCTTTTATGGGAAGTAAGATGGCTGCACTTTCTGAACTTTTTCCCACACTCCATGCATTTATAAGGTTTTTCTCCCGTGGGGATCCTTTTATGGGAAGTAAGGAAACCACTCTGCCTGAAGGTCTTTCCATATTCCAAGCATGGATAAGGTTTCTCTCCTGTGCGGATCCTTTCATGTGTTGTAAGGTTACTGCTCTTGCTGAAATGTTTCCCACATTCTGCCCAATTATATGGTTTCCCGCTTATATACACTCTTTGCTGTAATGAAAGAGGAGAGATTTGATTGCAACTTTTTCCATTCGCTCTGCAATTGTCCTGGTTATTTTTAGTGAAATTTTTGCAATTTTTATATAAATCTGATTTATCTTGGAATAGTTTCCCTAAACACTCTCCCCTTTTATTTCTGTTATCATTCTGAGGAATTGGGAATCCCTGGATTTCCACATGCAGAAAAACAGAGGATTCATCATCTCTTTTGTTTGACTGATGTCCCTCATGCATTCTTGGCCTCTGTGGGCTTCCAAAAATCTCTTCTTCCTTTCCTTGCTTGTTTTTTTGTAATAGGACCATATCCGTCTGATGGTAATTTTTATTCTGCGGGCCGTCAACTGAATGGAAGAAGAAGAAAGAAGATATACCATTGAAAGCTTAAGGCACAAACTGTATGAATATAACCCATTAGCTTCATCTCTAACACTTCCTTTCTTTTCCATATACCTTGCTGAGTTCAAATTGATTTTCCACTGTGAACACTGTCCCAAGACAATCATGTTGTGTTTTTGCTGGACTATTTCCTACATTTCATGTTTTTCTTCCTCTAATCCAACAATGCCATTTTCCCTAAGACTGAGCAATGAGTACCGATGGGAAGCAGAACTGTATGAAGAAGAATGGAAAGAGACTGAGATCATATTACAGGTAGAAGTGTAGATCCGGCGAATATTTGCTTTCTCATTTTATTTATTTACTTATTTAATGTATAAGCCACCTAATCATGAAGTAACTCAAGCAGAGTATTGTCGAAGACTTTCATGGCCGGAATATGATGGCTGATGTGAGTCTTCTGGGCTGTGTGGCCGTGTTCTGGAAGTTTTGGTTCCTAACGTTTCGCCAGCGTCTGTGATTAGCATCTTCAGAGGACAGAAGCACAGACAGGAGCGGTTCTATCTGTGCTCCTGTCCTTCTATCCATCATCCTGGGCACAGATAGAACCGCTCCTGCCTGTGCTCCTGTCCTCTGAAGATGCTGGTCACAGATGCTGGCGAAACGTTAGGAACCAAAACTTCCAGAACACGGCCACACAGCCCAGAAGACCCACATCAGCCAACTCAAGCAGACTTTTCTGGAAAGCACTACATGCTTTGACACATGAGGCATAAATTCATCATTGGCATCTTCATCAATGAAATGGAAAGCTGATCCTGTGGAATGCACCTGGATGTATACCCCCACCAGCTAATGGAGCTGAAAGACAAGTTGGGAGTGGATGAAGCTAACTTATAAAACCATAATTAAGTACGATACTCAACAAAATATAGCTGACATACGTTGAAGGCTGTTTCTTAAATCACAGTGGAGTCTTTCTTCTTAGTTATAATGACTAGACTCAATCTAGAGCAGCAGGAAGAAGGGACATTTGCCAAAGTAGAGAAAATAGATGATCTGAGACAAATAGAGATCAAAGGGTCCAGCAATATCCAAAGCTGTTGAGTTAGGGCACACAACACAGTTACTTTAAAGTACTACCTAGTTATCCCCAAGGCAGCAGAAAACTTTCTGGCATATCACCTGCTGCCCTGAGTGCCCTGTTCTACCACAGTAATCAATCATGTAATTACTAGCAATTACAATGCTAGTAATTGTGGATTGAGTATGGGATAATCCAGTGTTGTCCAAACTTGGCCACTTTGAGTGGACTTCAACTCCCAGAATTCCCCAGCCCGCATTGCTGGCTGGGGAGTTCTGGGGGTTTGAATCCCCCCCCAATGGCGCAATTTGGGTAAACATCAATA